TGGACTAAATGAATTTACAAGCCTTTACGGCATTTCCCTTAACGTCTCCCAATTAATTTCATTTCGCTCGCAACCCGCTTGTCCGCAGCGAAAAGTAGGAAACATGTTAATATATTGATTTTACTCCTTTTTATGCAACGCAGTTGTTCATTGGAGCTCCGTTCAGATACTGCAAAAATGTATGCGTTTTTTGTAGTACTTTTGCATACATCTAAAACTACCGGAAAAAAGTTAAAATAACCACGATAACCTCCGTTTATTTTCTGTGTGAATATGAAATGTATTTCACTTGCAGCTAAATGAATTCCGTAACATTTACATAATTCTATTTACGCGCTTTGATTTTTTAATAGCGTTTTTTCGTTGATAAATTGTTGATGAATGCGAATGTAATTGGCATACGATTTAAAATATTAATGACGCTTTCAATTTATCGAAAAAATGGGCTTTCGCAGCTTCAAAACTATTTTTTGCGCAAATTTCCTGTCGTGGCTTTCGTTACATGCTAAATAAATTTGATTTGCCCAAAATTGTTTACATGAAAATGCAAAATAAAAAAGCGTATGATTTGTAAAAATATTCACCACTGATTGGGGTCTGTTTTAACGCTTATTTTTTTGACTGTTAAATAAAACAAGGTTATTTTGAATTATTTTAGATAGCTAATTGGGAGGACTGCTGTGAAATCAATCATTTGATCAATCATGATGATGGTTGTCAAAGGGAATTTCACCTAAACTCAATGGCCTAAAAAGCCAATCAGTTTGTAAATGCTACAAGTGAAATGCAAATTTGTTATTGGTAATCTCTCTTACCAATCGCATTTACACCTAGAATTTCGAAAATCCCTATTTAATTACGTAACTCCATCAAGTTGCAGACTTCAGCAAAAACCAAATTGACAACTTGGGGAATGACGCAGTGGTGGCAAGGTGGCAAAACAAAGCAAATCAACAATTGCCATTGAGCTGCTAAGAGGGGGATGGAATGGAATGGAGCCACTGGTGCGATAAGCTGAAATTCGAAGGAGATATGTCCTGTTCCAGGGTCAGCTCGCGGCATTCATTTCAGAGTTCGCGTCGAGGTCCTTCAGAAGAATAAACTCCAGGATCCCCTGAATTTTGAACGCTGGCCGCTTGCTCTTTTCTCCCATATCGTTTGTGCGTCCGATTCGGTTTCGGATTGCGATTCGGATTCGGATTCAGATTCATATTCTGTCTGGTCTGGCCATTTGATGTGTCCTCTGTCGACCGTTGGCGTTCATTTCAATTAAATGCAAATCTCAACGAGGGATTTTTCCTTCTCCACACTTTTCTTTTTTTTTTCGGCCTCCGTGTTATTGTTGCTTCTTCCCGGGGTGTGTGGAATCGTTTCCAAAGTCGGGAAATGCTTTTCACGCGTCGCTGCATTTTGTTTTCCGGCAAGCCAAGCCGCTTTTCTCCTTCTGCCCTTGGAACAGCGAACTTTATTTCTTTTTTCGGCTTTCATATAATTTTTATGAGAGGTGTCAGGAATAAATTTGCTTCGTTTCCTTGAAGTAAGGTCTTTATGTCCTTCAAGACAACTATCGTTGTTGGATTTTTCCTTAAACTATGAAGAGCATCTTTAAATTCAAGAAATTCGCATGAACAACTTGTGAAATTCCTAATTAAATCCACATAAAAAACATTATCTGTTGAAAATACTTGGGGTGTTACTGCAAGAAGTAATAGGAATTTTTTAGCAATTGTTACAGTTTATGGTTTTATGGTTTTTACCGTAAAAACTGTATTAATTATAAAAGCAAAGGAAAAGCATTTAAAAAGTGAATCCTTGATTCATTTGAAGTTTTTCAATGAACGTGATTTAACAACTGGTTAATTCAACAATCGCACGTTTTTTCGTCTGCTCCGTTCATAATCATCTTAGGAGTCCAGAAGAACTCTGCCTTGCATATTTTTCTTCCGGAAGCCTTCATTATTGACAGACTTTGCCGTTGCCTTTCTGCGGAGCTCTAGTCCTGGCGTTTTGTATCCTTTTTCTCTTATTTCTTTCGGCAGCACTAGGAGCAACATTTGACTTGCATTTAAAAAGAGGTTTTTGCATTTTTAATGCCGCATTGTTGTCTGCCTTCCGCTCTCCCATTGCAAGCGAATGTGAATCTGAATCTGAAATATTTGCAAGGAATGAGGCCTTGGCGAGTGGTCATATCACACCTGTAAATGGACGCCATTTTGTTTTCGCGCGCCATCTTGGGGAAATATTTACCGTTGTAACCGGGACTGCCAACCTGTTCAGGAATTCCGCGAGTGCAAATGAAAAATTCATTAAGAAAATATTTAATAATCAACGTAGTTTTTCGCCTTTATTTTTTCGTGTGGTTCGATTTGTTTGTGTGTGCAAGCGGTGGCAAGCAAATGCCGCAGGATGGAAAAGTTGACCATTAAGTTGGCTGGTCCTTGCACAGTCACGTTCGCAAGTCAATGTCAAACACGAAGGACTCCGGCACTCCACTCGCCGCTAGATGTGCCGTACGTCAGAAATTTTATTTTATTTTCCGTTGAATTTGCATAATTTCGAGCAGTCAGTGCCCGGTCCAGTTGATTAAAGTGATAGACTCTGACACGGGGTTCCCTTTTCTTTTTCCTGTCTGGCCGGTCCTTTGTTCAAATATACATACTATGCGAGTGTGCTCATGGGGAAACACAGGAATTGGACTGGGACCGCTTCGCTTTCAGTGTATTTTTTTTTTTTCTCTCTATTTTTTAGCTTGCAGTTTGCTTTTTGCAAAGTCAAGGTAAATATTAGATTTTTGGTTGCGGAATTTCTCGCTCTTTTCCGCTTCCACTTTTCCCTCTATGCAGATGAACGGATGTGTGTGTGTGTGTGTGTGTGTGTGTGAGTGAGTGTATGCCAGTGTGCGGTATTGTGTGCAGATGTAGGTAAGGCAAATATTAGCTTACAATTTTGGGCTTACAAAGTTTTTGGCCAGGTCGACAAAAGGCCCACGGTGGCATTAAACAAAAGTTGGACTTGTAGCACAAAAAGTGCTTCGGGGGACAGCAGGCTGAGTAATGAGATGGGCTGGCACGGGCCTTTTGTGAGTGAGGAAAAGCTTCAGGGACAACAAATGAGAATCATTATCATACAAATGAGAATGGTTGGCAGCCATGGCTAAGGTCTTGAAAACCGTCTTCAAAACGAACTGAGTTAAAAGCAGCGCAGATTTAGCTTTAAAGTCATAAGCATTATATTTAAGATTTACAAAAATCTAATAGTTTTCCAAATGAAACTTTAGCTCTTGAAATGGAAGTGCTAAATAAAAGTACACGGGTTTTAACCCATAGCTACACAATTCAAGCAAGAAACCTTTTTTCAAGTGAATGCATAAAGAATTATATTTTAACTTACTCTTATCCATTAGTTTTCTTACCGGTTTCTTGAAGCTTTTCCTACTTATCACGTCATACCATCCCGACTTGTTTGTCTATCTTCTACCTTGAACATTTCTCAAGTTTTTGTCTGCAATAATTATTTTTCCATTCCGTATTTTCATTTTCCCTGACTTTCCGCAGCTTTTGTCTTATTTCCCTCTCCTTCGGCTACTATTTGTTGCTTTTGTTGCTTTTAATTACAAGGCAAAATTAAAAAATGTCGCTTCATTTGAAGGACTGTGTTGCGGGTCCAGGTTTTAACTTTTTCCATAGTTGGCACAGATCTCCTGCCAACATCCCCGTCTCCAGGGGGAAGGGGCTCCACACCCTCAAAAAAGTACGCCCCCACATTTGTGCACATGTCCCGCGTGTCACGTTAAATGTCAAGCAAACAAAAGGCTCTTCTGTCTCGTGTATAAAAGCGTTCATTCTACCCATTAATTTTAGCATTCGTTTTTTGCCATTCCTGCCGTTTGTTTTTTATTCTCACCCGGTGAAATGAAAAGTGGACGAGCATGAAAAGAGTCCAAATGCGCTTTCAATAACCAGGTGGCATTCACCAGTCCTTTTCCAGGCACCCATTTCCGCGTTGAAAAGGACGTTGGGCGAAAAAAAAGCGAGAACAACTTTTTTGCTCTTTTGAGGTTGACCGAACATTTGCAGTTAAAAGTTAAAAGCTCACTGGAAAGGCAAAAAATTTTGGAAAAATAAGAAAAATTATTTTTAGCTCCTGCATCATTGAACCAACGCTGGCTAGGGCTGAAATAAGTACTAAATGCCCGATAAAATGATAAAACCACCAATCTAAATGGTTAGTCATTAAAAATGTTATAGGTGGACATTTAAGGTACATGATTCAATTCAGAACTTTCTTGTGTGTTGTTGTAAATTTTCAAGTCAAACGTTTTGAAATGCCATTATTGCTGAACACAGCGTTATTTCACGGCAGAAACTATATAAATTATTGAAACTTCAGAGTTTACCTTGCGGTTTAATCCCCGTGGCAACCGTTTCTCTTTTTATCGGCCACACAGATGGATGAACTGGTTGCAGTTTGTGGCAAGTGGCAAGGCAACAAAGGTTTTCCGCAACGGCTGCATAAAGTAGATGCAAATAACCAAAGTAAACAAACGACAAAAATTGTACTTGCAGCTGCTGATTATGTTGCTGTTGCTAAACGGGCCATTCTAAGTGCAGCTGCCCTTTTTTGCATATCAGCGGGGGAAAGTTGCCATCAGGACTCCCAGCGTCATGCCCCGTGCCCCGTGCCCCATGCCCCTTGCCTCTTGCCCCATGGCCCATTTCCTTTTTTCCAACTTCAGCTGCATGGGTTCCCTGTGCACCGCCATGTGGCAGAATATTCCACTGCTTTTTACTTTGCTGCCAGATAATCCGCTTGCCTTTTTTTTGCTTTCTTCTCAACTGCCTTTTGTCGCCTTTAACGCCGCCTAATTGCCTAATTAGGCATTTGATGGCCGAACCAAAACCATCCGGCCATCTCATCTGTCTCCCAGCCAGCCGGTTTCTATCCACTCCCCGTTGCCTGGTGCAATTTATTTATAATCCTCTTTTCTTTCCGGCTTCCAGGTCCTGAAGATGTACTGAAGTTTGTGGGAAACGAAAGTGTTGTGGATCACTTCAAGCTCGTCACCAAGGATGGCAACAGTCTGCTCATCGGTGCCAGGTAAGAGAAATTTGATCCCTTGACTATACAAATGTTATATTTTGTGATGCGTTACAAATGGCACGTTATTGCTTTAAGGAATTAAAAAGCAGCAACAACAAATCCTATCAAATGGCTAAGCACTTGCTCAAAATGTTGTCATGTTGGTTCTTTGAAAAACAACTTCTGTCAATTATCAACCATTGAAATAAAATGTGAGCTTAATCCTCCTTGACCTAGCAGGTATTAAATTGTAACAAAAACCATTCAGTTAAGTTATTTATGAGGGGCACTCCCAATTATGTTCGCTTTGGCTTTGTTACATTGTCAATTCCCACAAGGTTGGAATCCTCGTAAGTCGGCGCCAACTAAAGAGATGGAGAGAATCTCTGAAATTGGGAAGAATAAGGGCAAGTGAAATATACACATAAAGCAAACTTCAATTTATTTTCTGCAGACATTGTATTTAATTTAAGTAGAAGATACTAGCATGTTCACTTCCCCATATATGCGTACCAACATGACAAACTTTCTCGGAGCCGAAAATGGGTAGAAAGTATGGGGTTTTCGGGGGCATGAAGTCTACCCTTAGCAACTTTGATTTTGCAACGCTGGCAAGAGAAACAGAAACAAGAACCAGTGCAAAAGGAAGCGGAAACTTTTGCAGCAGGTGCCCCAAAGATATGAGGAACTGTGCTAAAGTTTCCAGTACTTCCTGCTCGAGATATAACCCCAGAAGACTTAAAGGGTTGCCAAGGTTTTTGGCGAGACCCGGGTTTTTTTTGTTCGCAAGTGCGGGGTGTGTATTGTCGTTGTCAGAGACCACAAAATATGTTTGCTGCAAATGTGGGCTTGTTATATTTTGCCTAGACAATGCCAGCATATGAGCATATAAATACACCCACATTAGCACTCACACATGGACAACGCACTGACATACATATTAAAATGTTGCATACTTTTTGGGTCTCAACGAGACTTAATAAACTTGCTTCACTCGGGCTCTTCATGTGTGTGTGTGTAATTGTGAGTGTGGCGTCGTGTAAACTTTTGTAGTCAAAGAATGCTTGCAGCTTGTAATGAATGGACCAAAATTCCTACACCAAATGGAACAATGGGAAAATGACAGCACTTCAATTTTAAATAGTTAGTGGTCATTCAATGCACAGAGAATTAAATGGAAAGAATGCAGTTGTAATTTAACAACATGGTGGGAAAGCTTGGAATAAGGTTGCATAAATACTATTAAGATTTTCTGAGGAATGCAGTTTAGCTAATACGAAATTCTTAAATGCTGACGTTTAAATATAAGCGCTGAATTCCTTAATTACGTTCTAAAATAAATACTACGCCTTTATAGTTGCTATAAATAAAGTTGGAAAGCACTTTCTGCGCCGTTTTGCTGCAGAGTTATTTACAATGTGCAGATAATGAGGCAATAAAATGCAAAACCATAACCAAAGCAGGAAAATTAAGGGAAACCCCTACTCACATACATATACAGCATACAGGCGTACACACATACATATATGCGGGGTTTCTTCTGCCTTCTTTACGTATTTTTTTTTGTATTTTCACACGCATGAACAAATTTGTATGCCGGCAATGTCGTATCCAGAGTTGCCACTTACGTGATTAATGGATTTTTAACAAGTTGCACACTCGCATTGCGAAAGGGAATTCACACACGCACATATCCACTTATCAGACCCCAAAAGAGTCAAAGTAACCAAAGGAAAACCTCTTCTGCGACTGTCGGCGAAAGCCAAAAAGCACCACGTGTGTTTGAGTGTGTGCGTGGGCTTGGGTTTCCTAGTGTGCATGTATGTACTTGTGGCGGTATGCAGTGTGTACGGCTAGGGTGGACCAACTAAACTAGGATGACAGGCGGAAATGCGAATGTGACACGCGTTTTGCATGTGAAACGTCATGAACAATGTTAAAAAAAAAGGAGAGTGTAAAGGGAAAGTTCTGCAAGCAAACCATACACACACACCCACAACGCACCTTTTCTATAGCACAGCTAGTCGCTACATTTCCTGTGGCAAGCAGGTACTACGCTGGGTGTTTAAGCCGGCGCATGATGTCAACCCTGCCAAGAGGCATTTATAAAAAATTACAAAATACCTTAAGACTGAAGTTCTAAACTCCATAACTCAACTTATCTTAATCGGATTTTGAAGTGGCATACCTCTAAATGTTTCTGGCGCAATTCTCTACAAAGCTGCATTCAAATTTAGAAATATATTTTTTTTCAATTTTTTTGTCATTTTTCTGATGTGCTGATGTTGTAGAAATTCAAAAACCTATAAAATGTCCCAAGGCTGAAGTTCTATACTCCATAACTCAACTAATTTTAATCGGATTTTGAAGTGGCATACCTCTAAATGTTTCTGGCGCAATTCTCTAAAAATCTGCATTAAAATTTAGAAATTTATTTTTTTTCAAATTTTTTGTCATTTTTTTGATGTGATGATTTTGTAGAAACTCAAAAACCTATAAAATGTCCCAAGGCTGAAGTTCTATACTCCATAACTCAACTAATTTTAATCGGATTTTGAAGTGGCATACCTCTAAATGTTTCTGGCGCAATTCTCTACAAATCTGCATTCAAATTTAGAAATTTATTTTTTTTCAATTTTGTTGTCATTTTTTTGATGTGATGATGTTGTAGAAATTCAAAAACCTATAAAATGTCCCAAGGCTGAAGTTCAAAACCCCATAACTCAGCTTATTTTTATGGGATTTTGAAGTGGCATACCTCTAAATGTTTCTGGCGCAATTCTCTAAAAATCTGCATTAAAATTTAGAAATTAATTTTTTTTCAAATTTTTTGTCATTTTTTTGATGTGATGATTTTGTAGAAACTCAAAAACCTATAAAATGTCCCAAGGCTGAAGTTCTATACTCCATAACTCAACTAATTTTAATCGGATTTTGAAGTGGCATACCTCTAAATGTTTCTGGCGCAATTCTCTACAAATCTGCATTCAAATTTAGAAATTTATTTTTTTTCAATTTTGTTGTCATTTTTTTGATGTGATGATGTTGTAGAAATTCAAAAACCTATAAAATGTCCCAAGGCTGAAGTTCTATACTCCATAACTCAACTAATTTTAATCGGATTTTGAAGTGGCATACCTCTAAATGTTTCTGGCGCAATTTTCTAAAAATCTGCATTAAAATTTAGAAATTTATTTTTTTTCAAATTTTTTGTCATTTTTTTGATGTGATGATTTTGTAGAAACTCAAAAACCTATAAAATGTCCCAAGGCTGAAGTTCAAAACCCCATAACTCAGCTTATTTTTATGGGATTTTGAAGTGGCATACCTCTAAATGTTTCTGGCGCAATTCTCTAAAAATCTGCATTAAAATTTAGAAATTTATTTTTTTTCAAATTTTTTGTCATTTTTTTGATGTGATGATTTTGTAGAAACTCAAAAACCTATAAAATGTCCCAAGGCTGAAGTTCTATACTCCATAACTCAACTAATTTTAATCGGATTTTGAAGTGGCATACCTCTAAATGTTTCTGGCGCAATTCTCTACAAATCTGCATTCAAATTTAGAAATTTATATTTTTTCAATTTTGTTGTCATTTTTTTGATGTGATGATGTTGTAGAAATTCAAAAACCTATAAAATGTCCCAAGGCTGAAGTTCTATACTCCATAACTCAACTAATTTTAATCGGATTTTGAAGTGGCATACCTCTAAAATTCATTAAAATTTAGAAATTTATTTTTTTTCAAATTTTTTGTCATTTTTTTGATGTGATGATTTTGTAGAAACTCAAAAACCTAAAAAATGTCCCAAGGCTGAAGTTCTATACTCCATAACTCAACTAATTTTAATCGGATTTTGAAGTGGCATACCTCTAAATGTTTCTGGCGCAATTCTCTAAAATTCTGCATTCAAATTTAGAAATTTATTTTTTTTCAAATTTTTTGTCATTTTTTTGATGTGATGATTTTGTAGAAACTCAAAAACCTATAAAATGTCCCAAGGCTGAAGTTCTATACTCCATAACTCAACTAATTTTAATCGGATTTTAAAGTGGCATACCTCTAAATGTTTCTGGCGCAATTCTCTACAAATCTGCATTCAAATTTAGAAATTTATTTTTTTTCAATTTTTTTGTCCTTTTTTTGATGTGATGATGTTGTAGAAATTCAAAAACCTATAAAATGTCCCAAGGCTGAAGTTCTATACTCCATAACTCAACTAATTTTAATCGGATTTTAAAGTGGCATACCTCTAAATGTTTCTGGCGCAATTCTCTACAAATCTGCATTCAAATTTAGAAATTTATTTTTTTTCAATTTTTTTGTCATTTTTTTGATGTGATGATGTTGTAGAAATTCAAAAACCTATAAAATGTCCCAAGGCTGAAGTTCTATACTCCATAACTCAACTAATTTTAATCGGATTTTAAAGTGGCATACCTCTAAAATTCATTAAAATTTAGAAATTTATTTTTTTTCAATTTTTTTGTCACTTTTTTGATGTGATGATGTTGTAGAAACTCAAAAACCTATAAAATGTACCAAGGCTGAAGTTCTATACTCCATAACTCAACTAATTTTAATCGGATTTTGAAGTGGCATACCTCTAAATTTTTCTGGCGCAATTCTCTACAAATCTGCATTCAAATTTGAAAATGTATTTTTTTTTTTTTTTCTGATGGAAATATGTTTTTTTTACGTGATTATGTTTTATCAAGTTTTTTCTTATTTAATGTTTTAGTTTCCTGTTATTATTTGATAAAAATAATAATAATACTAAAACTACTATTTTGAGTATTGAAATACCTAGTTGAAGCTAACAATATGGTTTTCCTATTATATAAATACAATCAGTTCAAACAGTAATTACACAATGATGCAATGCAATAAGCTTTATAGTATAAAGTTTGATTGCAAATTCTTTCGTTTCACATTTTATTTTTATTGGGAATATAAGCCCTTTGGAGCTGTACTTATTACGCTAACTACCTAAGCCATTACTGTTGGTATCTCTTG